AATAGTGTTTTTGTTTTTTGCATTTATAGTTATAGACTTTATAAACGTTTTTGCTAAGAAAGTATGCACAATGATGGATTTTTAGATTAATGTAATGAAGAGGAATGCAGGAAAAGAATATCTAATGTCTATGTTATTGTTGAGCATTTAGGGTTCAACAATAAAAAAAATGTATTTAAATAAGGTAAATTATATTTTATTTAAATTTAGCACCTTAGTTTTCTAGGTATGAAAAAAGTATTTACATTTTTTATTATTAAAAAAATAAAGCCATGTAATATTTATTTGTTTTTAATTTGTAGTTTTATTTATAGACTATATATATTAGTGCTGTCAAATGATTAATCGCGATTAATCGCATCAAAAATAAAAGTTTTTGTTTACATAATATATGTGTGTGTACTGTGTATATTTATGTATATATAAATACACACACATGCATGTATATATTTAAGAAAAATGTTACGTTTATATATTAAATATATTTATATATGATATCATTTATATGAATATAAATATATACATGTAAATACATGTAAATATTTTCAAAATATATGCTGCGTGTGTGTATTTATATATAAATAATAAATACACACAGTACACACATATATTATGTAAACAAAAACGTTTATTTTGGATGCGATTAATCGCAATTAATCATTTGACAGCACTAATATATATACATTTTTTCTAAGAAAATTGTTTTGCAGTTATAGTTATTTACTTTATAAACATTTTTGCTGAGAAATGATTAAAATTTTGCATCCTCTTTCATGGATTGAAAGACAAATACTGTACTGCAAACATTGTGTATCTGGAGGATATGAAAGATTTTTTAGATTACTCTAATATAGAGGAATGCAGGAAAATATATGTGTATAATTATGATCGCATTTAGGGCTCAAAATAAGGATAGGATTTTTAATAAGGTAATTTTATTATTTTTATTATTTGATTTATTTCAATTTTAGCACCATAGTCGCTTGAATTTTTAAATTACTGTAATATAGCAGAATGCAGGAACAGAAATATCTTGTTTGCAAACCACATGTCCTTCTACAGTGTATGTTGACCAGAATTTAAATTAAGCTTAAAGATACAGTATTTAAAAAGCTGGAGTATTGATCAGTTTTGTGCATTGTAGGTAAATGATGAGGAGGATTTGGAGAAGCTACAAGTGTTACATGATCAGGTGTACGATCAGGCCCGTAAATGGTTCCAGAACCTGGAGAACCGCTTCCGGAACCAGATCCTGCAGCATTTTGGGCCCATGCCAGAGAGAGAAGCTGACATCCAGGTATTTCCCGCTCTCTTAATCCCTACTACTGAGAGAAGGTCTGTCTCTCTTCTTTCTTTGCCCTACAGCAGGCTGGATGGGAGGAAGTAGGTCAAAGTGCATTCAGGGTTGCGTTTGCATAAGTGCCGTTACATCATAAATGTGTCAGAAAGAACGGAAGTGGATCTGGCAGCTCTCGCAAACGCGCGCACACTGTCTGGTAAACATATTAGCGTGTTGTCCCAAAGAGAGACGGCATGCTTTGAATAATAACGGAGGGAGGTTATGGTTGTATAAGCTTCATGAACATAGCTGAGCCTTATATGGTCGATTTGAAGGGCCTCTCCTGTGATTTCTGAGTACAAATAGGATTTGTACAGATGTTCAAGCTAGTTTCGTCAGCATTTAGTTTAGCTCATCGTTTCTCTTTTACAAAAAGAAAGCATGATAATAACGGGGTCATGTCATGAGGAATCAAAATTTCCTTGATCTTTTCAGATTAAAGAAAAGTTTGATGTTCTGTGTAACTCAGAACTTCCTCTTTGAAAAAGGGCTATAAAACGTCACATCAGTAGTGTTCAGAAACTTGATCTGCCTGCTCATGTTGAGGTAAAAAGTTAAAAGCAGGACTGAATAATACCAAAACCAATTCTAGCCAATACCAATGAGTTGATAATTATTTGTATATAATTATTTGGTTTTTGTTGTGTTATGGCTGATAACCAAAGAGCAGATATTAAAATTAAATAATATTTTGTCAAAAAAAATAAAAAATTAATAATAAAATTAGAAGTTTTAAATGCTAGGCATCATAACATTTCAATGTACAGTATAAAAATGCAAATACATTTTGAGATTAGCTAAATATTACATTTAATAGTGTTTTTAAATTGTTTAAAGATTTTTTTTTTAAGAAATTAACTTGAAGTGAGTATTCGATGCAGTGTTATTATTGTTAGCCTAACTAAAACAAACTATTCAAAATTTGTTCATTAATTAAAATAAGGCTGAAATAAAATTCAATATATATATTAGATTAAAAAAAAAAATTTACTTAAATATTTAACAAAAATGACAAATGTTGCCTTGGCAACTAACGGAAATAAAATAATGTCAATAGCTGACACTAAAATGACTAAAACTAAAATAAAAACAAATTAAAGCTAAGTAGAAATATTAAAAAAAAAGATATATAATAAAAATCACAAAAGCGCATAAAACAAAAATAAAAAAAAGATTTAAAAAAGCTCATTTAAAATAATTATAAAAACTATAAATAATACTAAAATAACACAAGATGGCAAAGGTAATCTAAATGTATAAATGAGGAAACAAGCAGCACAATTAAATATTCAATATCGGCTGATATATCAACAGATCTCTAATATCAGCAGAGAACCGATACAGTACAGATATGTTATTCGTCTCTAGGATATGACTGAATGTGACTGTACTTATGTGTTAGTGTATTGGTACACTTTATTAGTACATGAGCTTACTAGACAATAACACTATTTCTTTATTTCTTTGTTTTCAAGGCCACACCTAATGGTCCAGCATGCTGTTGGTGGCTGCTAGCTGTTCTTCCTGTGGATCCACGTTACCAGCTGTCTGTTCTTTCCATGACAACACTAAAAGAGCGACTAGTCAAGATCCAGCACATCCTCACCTACCTGCAGAAACTTTCCAGCGACTAGAGCTTCCACACAGAACTCTGTTTCCACCAGCTAATGTCTGTGTCCTTCTGCTGGCCAACATGCAAACACTCTATGGTGCTGACTGATGAAGAACTAATGAGAATTCAAGGAGACTCCACTGAAAGCCCGACACAGATTTCTGTCTGTGGGCTTAGATGTAATTCATGCCGAGAGAGTTATAAGAACAAAGTGTTTTTGTCGTTTCATAGCGATCTGTTCATCACCATCTGACTTTTCTTTGTGCGGATCCCTCACATTTCCGTCTAATGCCCGTAGCCTCCATACAGTGCTTTGAGGGCAGAAATATTGCTGGAAAGCATTCCAACATATTCACGCCATGCTTTGTGTGTGTGTGTTTTGAAATGACAGGGAGCATCTGCAAAAACTAATCTTCAAGGTAGATTTTTGGGCACCAAGGTAGAAGGCAAGACCATTTTGAATATCTTTTCTTTTTCTCTTGGAAAAACAAAAGCAGAAATATCGCTTCCGAGCATCCAGCCGAGCTTTCGCACAAGAAGTCACTGTCGCACAACAGCTGAGTCGCTTAAGACAGAGAAAACTCTGACGATGCACTTATATTCATTTGTGTTACTTTTGCAGTAATGGACGTCAATGAAGCTTGCACTGTCCCGTCCTGTCTCAGAGATGGGCACGAGACTTCTGTTTAGAATAGATTAATTTCTGCCGGGGAAATAATTAGGACTTCCAAATATCTCTACAGTTTCGTTTCAGACGTATTATTCATTTGCTGTGGGTTTGCTTTGGTCAGTCAAAACAGCAAAATCAACGTGTCACCATATTGCAAGTTTCTCTGTTAGTTACAAGCTGCTCTTTGTCAAATTATTTAGAAGTAATTTTTAAGAATGATGCTGAGATATTGATGTATTTTATTTGAGTAAACAAAGGGAAACTTGCAATATTTTGACAGATGTAAACAAGTAAAAAAAACAGACTATCGTTGGCTGCAACCAGCACCATACTGAAAGGAGACCCTGCAAGCATCCTGCATCTTGACAGTTATGAATGCTAACTCACTAGCTCATACCTGTGTGGTGCTTGTTGTGTGCAGACTAACTTTTGCCTTATAATACCTTGTTGCATTCTGCTCCTACGGTATAATGCATCGGCTTGGGTTTTTGCATTCCTGTTGGTGGAGAATTAATTCTGTGGTTTAATTTACTTAATTTGCCTCTTGGCCAAAATCCTTTAAGTGTGTAAAATATGTCAGATAACGGTTTTGTTGTATGTAAATCTTTTTGTTTTGAAAAATACTTTTTTTTACAGCTCTGCTCAAATATTTAAGTTGTCAATTTTCAAATAAAATCCACATCTTTTTCAATTGTATCTGTGCTTATTGTATTATTATTATTATTATTATTATCATCATCATCATCATCTCTCCGTCTATTAAAAAAAAAAACTCCAAATTTTCCAAAACAATTATTTTGTTGGGTTGCAGGATGCTGGAGCCTAATTTATTATTATTATTATTATTATTATTATTATTATTATTATTATTATTATTATTATCTATCCATTTTCCAAATCACTTGCAGGAACAATTTATTATTATTATCATCATCATAATTATTAGATGAAAATAAAAATGATTATCATTCTTATTATTCATATAATATTAATACATTATTATTATCATTAATTTCCTTCTTTTTACTAACAATAATAAATTATTACATAAACCACTTGTCCTATGTATGGTCACAGGGATGCTGGAGCCTAATTTATTATTATATTATATTATTACTATTATTGTTATTATTATTATTATTACGACTACTACTATTAGATAATAATAAAAACAAATAACATGTATTATTATTACATGATTAACAAATAACATTTATTATTATTATCATCATCATCGTTACCTATATCCTCCACTAGGTCGCAGCAGCGTCACTGGTTGAGCAACAGCAGCATGTTTCATAACTCGCAGACTTGTTGTCCTGTTCTAACTACTTATTAGATAATCCATCATCCTGCATCGACCAACCAGAACATTCTCACACAGTTTCAGACCTTTATTGAATACAAATATATACTCTGTACATTTCTACATAGATATCCGCAGTTTATGCACAATGTATTATTTAACAACTTTGACTGACAAGTTTGACTGAGCTCTCAGGTATGAAAAACATCAAACATCCAGCTATCGGAGAGACAGCATCATGACAAACTCTGAAAGAAAACAGAGGCAAAACTAGTCGTTATTTATTCGACTAGATTAGAAAGAGAAAGTGTAAAGATTTTCCCTGAAATGTCACTTGAGGGGTTCTGTACGAATCAACGGAATTCGTGTGAAAATGGAGCTTGAAGTTCACATATCTATCCAATTCTTGAAACACATTCGACTTGTGTTCTCGAGCTCAAATTTTTCCACCTTGGACTACTTTATCAAAGTTGGTTCACATACGTACAATATAACTGTTAGAGATTAAAGATGAAGATGGCGGGAATTGTTACCTGAGTAAGGTAAGCAGACGCGTTTGTTGTTATGTTGTGATTAACAAGCCAAGAAGCTCCTTCGTTTTTATAACTCATTATAATTAAAAATCAAGTAAATAAAAAGGTTGTTAGGGGTGTCTGTTACGCCACAGTTGAGGTGAATGTACTCTGTGGGAGTTATAGTGATAGTATAATGTATGTGTACAGTATAACACGTTATTGTATGGTTGTTTGTTGTTTTGGGGCACTAACTATGGTAAATATCTAAATGACTAACCTAGCAACTGTGGTTAACTTAGTACTTTTTGTGTATTTGAAAAGGAAAGGGAAAGGGGTTAGGTATATGGACAGCTCATGGTTAAAACAGTATATTAGACCAAAGTTAACCTGGTTTTAAAAGTGAGGTCCAATTATAAAAATGTCATTATGAGGACATGTGAATTTGGTTAAATGTGAAAAATTTAGTCAGTCCACTTTTAGTACAAGATTGGTCTCGGTGTGTTCAAATGGGTACAACCTCAGCTTTCAAACTCTTTTTAACCCTCCAGGCTACACAAATTACCCATATATCCTCAGAAGAGCAGGTCCCAAGAGCCATATTTACTTCAAGTGAAAAGAGGGCTGCTGCTGTTTCATATGCTGGCCACTAGACAGCGCTCTAAAGTTTTGTTATTGTCTTAAAGGTTTAGTTCACCCAAAAATGAAAATTAGCCCATAAATTACTCACTCTCAAGGCATCCTAGGTGTATATGACGTTCTTCTTTCAGACGAATCCAGTCAGAGTTATATTTATATATTAAAAATTGTCTTTGATCTTTCAAGCTGTTTAATGGCGGGAATTGTTACCTGAGTTAGGTAACATCCTTTATGACACAATAACTTGTGTTGCAGTGCTTCAGTCCAAAAGAAGTGAAATAAAAAGTGCCCATCCATAATAAAAAGTGTCTCACATGGCTCCGGGGGGTGAACAAAGGCCTCCTGTAGCGAATCGATGCGTTTTTGTAAGAAAAGTATTAGGGCTGCACGATAAATCGCATGCGATATTTAATGCGCAATATTCAAAACGTAATAATCACTTTAATCTAGCTTGCGCCAACAGTTGTACACGGAAGCAGTTCCGGGCTGATGATGTAAGAAGTTGTCGTTGCGCATGCGCCAGTGAGTCTCGTGAAAACCAACGTTTGGTAACAGGAGCAAAGTAAGC